CAGGAATGCATCAAGAGGCAAACCGGTCAAATTTGGGTGATTTTCTTCAATATGGGGATTAGTAGAATCAGAGAGAGATGATAGGGAAGGAAAAACATTCAGGTTCAAAAATACTCTGGTAGAGTATGGAATTTGGAAAGAAGTTGAACTCTAATGGATAAAGAGGATGAGTCTAGGTTTTTACTCAAAAGTTAGCAAGCAGGGTGAATATTAGAGTCAAACAGGGAAGGTCTGTAACTTCATGTGAACCAGTGTGGCAGTGCAACTTGAAGCTGGTTTGAAGAAGGAAGGGTTGAGCAGGAATATGGCAAAAATCAGAAAGATGTAGGCACTCCTAACAACAAAACCAACAAATTTATAAGCCTTTTTACAGAGACAAGAAAAAAAATCAGAAAACAACTCCAAAACACGAGAATGGTGGTATGTAGGCTAGCTGAAGGAAATTTTGTTCTGCAAACAAGAGGGGAGACCAAGACACTGTGATGATCACTTTAATGCTGGAGGCTGCACTGGCCATAAACTGAATGAGATGAGGTAGACTTAGTGACGAGCTGATCCCATGTTGTCCTCATGTGCTTAGTGTGTGCATTAGTGTAAAATGTTCAATTATATTTCAAAATATTTAATCTCAAAAATCCTGGTTGTAAAGCAGCCTCTGGGGAGATGATTTATTTGCCCTGTGGAAGTCTAAACTTGGAGGAAAAGTCTTAGCAGTCAGTCCATCCTCCTGGCGTTTTCTGGCTGACAGTTTCTGAAAAAATGTGAGATATTTTCTTTTAGTGTGTTGTGAGAACATAGAGGTGTAGTATATTTTCTCTAAGCAGTTCCCTATTCTGTAATGGTCTCTTCTTATAGCTCCCTTGAGCAGTTCTGTCTGAAAATTTTGAAAGAGATTTTTCTAGTTGTCAACACTTGGGTTTTCTTGGAAGATAGCTGTATTTTGAAAAGAGTGTTGTGTTTACAGCCCTTTCCATCTCAGAGCTTTGATCCTAGCCCTGGAGGGCTACAAGCTAGAAGAGTGTCCTGCAGATAGCATGCAGCTGAGCACAAAATTTGTGTCATCTTGCTTCGGAACTTCCATATCAATGTTTTTGGGTTTGAAAACAAAAGATCTTTGCTATCTGTATGAAAATTAGCTGTCCTGTTGTAGGAGATGAATATATTTAGCTCCTTTCTCAGACACTGATGCGTTTCAGTGCAATATTCCCAAGCAGAGCAATGACAAATGTCAGATTTGGATATCTGAACCATAGCACTTTATTATGTGTTGGGTTTTTTCAAAATGACACTTAAGCCGTGAACTCTGTCTTTTGTGGTGCCAGTGACCCACAAGTAAAAGAAGTGTTTTCAGCATGTGTGGAAAATTGTCTGATCGTTTTGTGTATCCCTTTGCTTTTTAATATTTTTTCAGGTTTACAAGGCCAGAACATCTAGGAAGCAGTGCCAAAATCAAATGTAGTGGTTGCCATAGCTACCAGGAATCTACCAAACAACTCACTATGAAGAAGTTACCCATTGTGGCCTGTTTTCATCTCAAAGTAAGTTCACAGGGGGCAGACAGAGCAGAGGACATGTATTCCTCTATGAGAGGGTGAGCTAAATTCCTGGATGTATCTTCTGGCTTTCACCGACTAATCTTTTATGCTATAAATTATACAAAGAACAGCTTGCACACCCAGCCAGATTTTCTATTAAGGTAGTATTACATTATCTATAATGTGGCTTTGCAGTATGTTTGTGGGAACCTAACTAATCGGAATCTAGAAACAAAATGGAAGGCTAGTACGATACTAGAGCCAGCGTAGAACCCAATCTCCAATAACACTTACTCATCCTGGATGGTAATACTTTTACCCTACACTTCTACTGGAAGAATGATTGGTGCCCTCAGATAGTTTAGTCCTGTACAGTTTATGTCTTAAATATAAAGAGTCTGACTGTGGTGCAAAGTAAGCAGCTGTTGCAGAAGATGAAGGTCATTCTGTGTCAAAAGGCAAAGGGTCCTTGAAAAGTGATGCCACAGGCCTTTGTAGAAGCAGCCACCATGGTAATTTAACTGCATCTTTGATCTGCTTGAGCTTGTCAGATGCAGACCTCTAAGGTCTTGAGTGTCTCCTGGGACAGAATGACGAAGTCCTCTCATTGCTAGGCAGCAACTGATGGTCACTGGCCTCAGCTCTTACTATGACCAGTGTTTCAAGAAACTGCTTATCTGATGATGATACTAATGTCACATCAGCTACATAAAGAAAAACAGCATTTTACCTACGGCCATGGTGACTGGAAACAGATTTTAAAACACCAGCCTATGTGCTGTGTACAAATGAAGGCTTGTATTGCTTCCCTTTCCAGTTGGGGAATGGTGAATTGAAAGAACACACACTCCAGCCTTTTGCTCCAGAGACTTCATTCAGTTGTTCAATTCTTACATGGTTTTTAGGCTTTGAACTTTGGTAAAACACCTGGGTATCTTTAATAGTGTTGGAAGTAGACCTTTATCTTGTAGCTGTCATGGCAAAGTGTGTGCTGAACTTTGCTATAGAATGCAGGCAATTTTTCTGATTTATTTTCCAGTAGCTCTGTGAGCTAGGTCAGTACGTTCATACTGGAAAATCTAATAATCTGTGTAACTATAGTGTCATGGTCTCACTGAGCAAGTCACAGACTGTATTCAAGAAATGATTGTAGTTTGGAATCATTAAATTACATACAAACTCTGTATCCAGCATAGCAGCAATTTAAAATTTATTTTCAAAATCTGGCTTGTACAAAAGCTTGTTAATAAAATGCAGAGGGCTTGACATGAAAACAGAATGCCGTAGGAAGGTCTGTATTTGTGAGAAAGGATTGATTCTGTTTTCTACTGGAAAAAGGTGTTACAGGTGGAAAGAATTGCCTCTCCTGTAACTTAGAGGCATTTTCAGACTGTTAGGGACAATCGTGCCTTCAGATGTTCATCCCCATATACCAGCAGTTCTTCAGTTGCACCTTGAGCATTAACCAAGACGATATGCAATGTGATATGCCAAAGATAGTAGCCTGAATATAGATAGTAGCACAGTTCCTTTGTTCTTTGGCTGTTTGTGGTCTTCCTGAAGACCATTCTTGCATGAGTGACTTGAGGTTTCAGGAGTGCTTGGCTGGCTGCTTGGCTTTTGGGGGAGTTTTGGGGGTGTTGGGTTCTTGTTTTTACTTTACTTTTTATTTTTATTTCATTATTGCAGAGTCGTTGGCAAGATATGCCTAGGTGATTCTGTTCTTTGGGCAGGGCAATGTGAATGTGCTCAACCCCTTTCCTACACTCACTTCAGTATTTGTGTTATCCACAATGACTGAGGATTTTTTTGAAAATAAATTACTTTTCCTAAGTGATTGTGTTGTCCTGTCCATGCAAAATGCAAATTTCATTTCACGTGTTAAAGCAAAAAAGAAACACAAAAGATAAGAATTACAGAAGTCTCAGCTTTTCACGTCTGGATCTGTTGCTAGGGAATTGTTATGGCACCACAATTGGAAAATAATTAACTTGAAGTGTAAATAGAGCAGAATTTCTGAGAAATGGGGAGAGAAGCTGCCTTTAAATAGAAACTCATTCATCTCTCTGTTATTTGTTCCTCTTTCCATTTAATGTTCAATTGAGAAGATGAGGAGGATGGTGGGTATCGCAGGCTCCTTTTGGCGAGGGGACAAGGCTTTTTTATTATCATATTCCATTTTTGCCTTAATTTGAATTGGTATTCCTGTGTAGGCTTGACTCCTGTCACTTGAGACGATTGGATGGGTGGATTAAGCGTGTGAATCTGATGGCAAGCTCTCATTGTCACCAGTTTTGTGTGCTAGTGTAGGCTGCAGCCATATATTTGAATAGTGCGTAGTACAAATGAACACTGGTTTGGGTAAAGGCTGTGTGTACTCTCTCTGTTTAATATATTTTTCCTTAATGCCAGTTGGGAATAAATTTGTATGTCTAGATATTAAAGTAAACAATCTAATTAATACTGTATTTTTCCCCCACAAATTGGGGTTTATTTTCCAGGTAGAAATGCGTTAGGATTTACACGGGGGTTCCCAGCCCACATAGTTGGTAGAAAAAATCTGGGGGTGTCCCTGGATACTGACTGCTAATATGTTTTCATGTTACTGTTCCTAAGCTTAGGACATTTATAAAAGACAGAAAACTTAGCTTTTCTCTAAAGAAAAAAAAATTCTTCCACTTTGTCTCCAGCGGTTTGAACACTCAGCCAAACTGAGGCGAAAGATCACTACGTATGTCTCATTTCCGCTGGAGCTGGACATGACACCATTCATGGCTTCCAGGTGTGTACCAAGTTCAAAATCCCCCAAAGACCTGGACAGAACTGTTTACCAGTTCATACATGTGCATCATGAAACATGGAACATCCTTGAATCAAGGTTATAGAACAGTATGTATGATGATACTTCTGCTGTAAGCTTCTCCTTGAAATGTGCATCTTCTCTAAAGTAATAAACTGTTGAGTTTTGTGTGTCAGAAAAGGCTTTATATTTAAACCTTAATTTTTTTTTTTTAATTAATGTGTGTTATGTTTCTGGTTGCATGTTAAATTTATAGACTCAGATCCATCATGCCTTCAGATCTCTGCTTTGGTCCCATCATCTGAGTGCCCACCCACCAGTCATCTTATGTAATTAGGCAGCCTAGACCTAACGTACTGCCTAACCTAGTGTTTCTGAAGTTATAAAAAACCTTCCTCTTTATTCCTGCACACGTGCAAATCTGGGGTTTTTTGTTTTGTACCTTCAACTTCTGTTTAAAGAATGCTGCAAGAAGAAAAACCATAGGTGAGATTAAAATAGATATTTCTAATTGGTATTTAAAGAAAAACAGTAAGACTTGTCCCACCTCCCAGGTTTGTCAAAGACAGGACATGTATATAAATACACCTTTATGAAAAGAATTTAATCAGCTCAGTTAATGAGTATTTGTCAGATATTCCATTCAAATACGCAAGAGGATATTGAGACTTCATTTATGTCTGAAGTAATGCAGAAAGCCCCAAAATAGGCATCTCGTAACACAGGGGCTCTATTTGATGCTAAAATTTTATTAGTAATTTCAAGCTTGCCCTGCCCCATCCCCTCCAACCCCCCCTCCCCAAAAAGTAGATGCTTGTGCCAGGAGAGAAAGGAGAGCCCTGAAGCTCTGTTAAATGGCGTTATATCAAGAAGATATGGTTTATTCCAGAATATTCTGGAGACTTTGAGACTTCCCTGTTCATCTGTGGTGAATTCTCCCTGGATAGAACAGGCTCTGCTGATGAAAAGTATCGAGCATAATGGAATATAGATGGGATAATCAGCAGGCATAACTCAGTAATCTGAATTTCATCGGCTATGAAATCAACGGCATAATCCTATTGCTGCTGTCAAAACACAAAATGAATTTACAAGTCAGAGCCAGGATGATTGACCCATCACAGGATAAAGGATTGATGTAATTAGATATTTTTCCAGGTTTAAAAAACAAATCTTTTCTTAACCTGTTTTTAAGCTTTTTGGATAGGGCATTTGACGTAAACAGATCTGTATTTGCAGCACAGAAGCCTTGACCAGGAGGAGAAATGGTGTTTCTTATGTAGCATTGCCATGAGAACAAATAAAGCATCTTTAGCATCCTAATCAGCAGACCTTCTCTGCTGCTAAGCAGCATTGTGCTTTTGAATAAGGACCTGGATTCGGCAAACAGGCTGTGTCATGTAAAACCTATTTCCTCGGTTTGGGAAGCCACTGCTTTAAGTGACTGGATTTTTGTGTGTGTGTGTGTTGCAGTAAAGAGAGCAGAATGAACGGGCAATACCAGCAGCCGACGGATAGTCTAAACAATGATAATAAGTAAGTGGTTCATTCCATGACTCCTTTTGTGAAAGGTAGTTGGCTTCTAGGAGATAAACAGTCTGCTGTATATCCTGCAGTGCGAAGTACATTACCATATTTGACAGCACAGTAAGTCTGAACCGTTGCAAAATAAAGCTTCATTTGCTACAATTGCCTGCCTTTTGGTGGGTTTGTGGCAGCTGACTTTCAGACCTGGAGGTGATAACCCCGCAGTCAGTCTGTGAATTAAATGAAAAGCTACGGTTACAGTATTAAAAGGGATGGGTGTTTCCTTTAAATAATCCTATTTCTATTGCAATAGCAAAGGGACTTCCAGAGGACTGAAAGAAAGTTTATAGAACACTGACACTCAAAGTCCCAAGTAGATGACTCCAGTAATTCTGGGGTCTCTTGGCCAGGTATTGATTCCACTCAAAATAAATGACAGGCTGATATGGGACTTGCTCAAGAATGTAAAGAGAGTGAAATTGAAACCAATATCCGTAGCTTTATGGGAATAGAGATGATCACACAAACCTTACCTTTTTTTTTTTTATAAGATTACAAATTTGGTTGCTACAGTCATGTGCTGATGTGTATTTAAATTCTTTATTTGGCACTAAAAGTTTCATTAAGAAACTGGAATCACACAATAGATTTAAAAACTAGCTAACTAGTCTTAGTGCAGTTGTCATACCAGGCAGGTGTTAAGTGTGGTCCTATAGTGATTGATTCATTAGATGTCTGGTGTTCAATAGTGTCAGCAAAGATCTGAAAGAAAACACAACTGATCACTTTTGAGGTTTGCACATGACTTAAGTTGGAGAAGTTGCTAGCAACAAAGAGGATCAGGTAATGAGAGCAGAGGCATCTGGGCTGCTTAGTAGGCTGGGGGTGCCAGTAAACAGCTGGGGCAATCCTAGAATCTTCCATCCAGGACTAAAGAGTGGTGTCCATCCTAGTTGGATTAAAGGACTCCACTAGGAAGAGAGTGACTTTCTAGTGGCTCTGCAGACAGTCAACTGAATAGGTGCCTTGTTGCAGCACCACTGTGTCAAAAGAGCTCTGTGAATTTTGAGCATTAAGTGGGACAATATCAAGGGAGATTAGAGAGATTATTTTACCATTGTGTGGCTGTATTTGTTATCCCAGTTTGAGGATAGCATTTTAAGAAAGAGTTAAAGAGAGTGGAGAACATTCGAAAAAGAGCCGCAAGTATATGTAAGACTGGAAACAAAATCTTACCTTAGAACAAAAGAGCCAAGGACTTCAGTCTTCTTTTTAAGAAAAGAAAAGGGGGAGGGGAAGTTAAGAGCAAGTTGATTAGTTTATCAGTATCTTTGGCACAGAGATGTCTGCTAGTTTTCAGGCTGGCAGGCAAATGCACAGCAGCATCTGAAAGCTGGAAGTTGAGGCTGAATAGACTCAGTATTTCAAAATAGGTACAGACTTTCCAGATTCAGAACAGTTGATCAGTACAGCAATTTATCACTAGAAATATTTAAGATTACCTCCTTCCCTATCCCCATACCTCAAATACATTTTTCTGGTTCACTAATTCAGGGAAATAGAAGGCCAGGCTAGATAATCAGCAGTCCTCCTCAGGAATGCATCAATATTGATTTAGTTTAGAAGAAAAATCTTTGGTAGCCAGTATTGGTAAAGCTGACAGCTGTCATCAGACTGGAGTGTTGCAGTAGTAGCAAGACAGAAAAAGAAAAATGTGGATCTTTTCCCTCGGCAAGGATGCCCTCTTCCCAGTTAATGTTAAGAGCTGGTGTTATATTGATGGATCAGATCCTTTACTATTGCCATATGTGTTTATGAACACAAGCTTTTGCCTAAAATGTCACTTGTTTTGCCCCTTTTGATCTTTTTACTCATTAACTCTTTTCTCTACCAGGTATTCCTTGTTTGCAGTAGTTAATCACCAGGGAACCTTGGAGAGTGGGCACTATACCAGCTTCATCCGGCAGCACAAGGACCAGTGGTTCAAGTGTGATGATGCCATTATCACCAAGGCTAGCATTAAGGATGTGCTAGACAGTGAAGGGTAAGTTGTGAACTGGAAAGGGGAAAGGAAGGGAAACTTCAACCTTTGAGTTTTCCTTACTTTCAGTTAAAAGACCCTTTCATCATAAAGAAGACTGAATTTCTCTCTTTGGATATCTAATGTCTCTGTGTATGTATCAGCGCTTTAGAATGTTGCTTTATAATGCTGGATTTGTTGAAGGAAGAAGAGGGGAAGGACGAGGGACGTCAGCTGACTCTGCAGTGTCTGTAACTGGTGCTCACATCCCAACTCTTGCTTGCTAATGGAAGGGACTCTGAAAACCAAAGTGATATGATCATCCAGTGCAGGAGCAGGGGTGTTCCAAGTGTTTCCCTCCATGACACAATCCCATCTTTGTCTGCAGAACCTTTGGATTACTATGAGTGTAAAAGGTTTGAAGAAAAGCCATTAAGAAAATACTGTGAACTGGAGTGGCAAGGCTATGTGGGAGGCAGGTATAGAACATGAGCCATTTCTTAGCTCATGGCTTTAAATTGATTCCAGATTGACATTGTGGTTTCAGATATTTGCATTAGACGAGTATTGGGAGTGCAGAGCAGTAGCTTGCAAGGGAAGTATCTTGCTTGGTGCTCTGCATTTGAGGGAAGCATTGGGGACTGGTACGTGTTTCAAGAATAAGGTAACTTAGAATCTGAAGTCTTCATTTTACATTTTCAGCTATGGAAAAATAAGCCAGTATTGTTCTTGTTTTAATTATTCCTGACATTTCTGTTGATTGCTGCAGGCACAGATGTTCAGTTCATAATTTTTTTAACATATCTCTCCCATTTTTTCACTTTTTTTTTTGAACTTCAACCAGGAAGTAAAAAAAAAAAAAATCTATCCTGTAATGTGTGATTTTTAGTGTTAAATGATTTGACAAAGTAACTTTTTGAGGTCAGCAGAAAAAGGAGTTTGTTTTTCTTCAATAACAAGTGGTTAGCTCTTGCCCTGAGATGGAGTGTGTCTGGAAGAAACTGCCATAGGCAAGGAGGAGAGGATACGCAACGCAAGTGCTGCCCATCCACCTCATTAAAGGCTGGTTTGAGTTCTGATCCTTTTTTCCTGGTTCAGATAAAGGCTGACACTAAGTAGATCTGTGTTGTATAAGGGAAGGTCCACAGGGCGTGGGATGGAATGATAGTAATTGGAAGGTCTCAGAAGTGCTTTGAAACATTTTAAGAGTCATGCAGTGACCCTGTCAGTGTGTGGCGTGTAAAGAATATGTAGAGATGAGTCCGCTTCCCTCTGACACAGAACTGCTCGAGGGCTGGGCTCTGTTATGTAGTAGGACGCATAAAGTAATTAAGGACAGGAAGAATTTCATCCTGTTAAACCACCAGATTTGAGTACAGATTGAGACATTAGATATTTGAGTTGGATTTCATTGGGACACATGAGTTTTCACCCACACGCCTAGTGCTTTGTTTCGCTTCTGTAACAGTAAATGGCAGGTTGCAATAGTCCAAAGTGTCTGATGCTTTGATAACGTGACTCCAAAAGAACAGTTGCATCTTAAAGCGCCTCAGTTGCATCTTAAAGCGCCTCAGTTGTATTTCGTGTCACGATAGCAGGGTTCAATCTTCTGGAGCTTTCAGGTTCTAAATAGATTGTACAAGAGGATTGACTGGTGTACAACTGTTCAGTTTCCTGAGTCACTGGTAAAATTATTTCAGCTGGCTTCCCTCCTTCTCATCCATGGTTACTGCAGGGAACTGGCATGTCCCTGGAATTGCTTCAAATTGCAAAGAAAAACAATTAATTGTCTTCATTTTTTATGATCGCATCAATGGAAATACTAATGTGCTCCAACGCACAGTAGAAAGCTGAAACTGTACCTCTGCTTTCTTGCAGATATTTGCTGTTCTATCACAAACAGTTCCTGGAGTATGAATAGCCTTATCCAGCAGCCTGTGAGATACAAACAAGGAAGAAAATAAGCAAGCCTTCTGAATCGACACACAAACCTACCTGAAATGAAAAGACCCATTACAAAACAACTAGCACTGAGCTGTAACAGGACCTACTTGACACTGACTCAAAGCCTGGCGGAGTAAGAAATGAACAATGTCCAACGTGTATGCGGTCCCGCAAGGACAGAACGGGGGAAAAAAAAAAGAGGCTACAGTCAGTCACTTAACAGAGGAAATATAAAATGAAAGGAATGCTCTGGGTGGGGGAAATGGGAGCAGAGGAGTCCGGGCACTGGTACATCTCCTATGTTCCTCCAAAATGTGTGTGGGAAGGCAAGGGGTTATACCCTCATCTCCATAAAGCATCTTCTCCATTTGGTGCTTCAGCTCCAACGACCAATCATATAACAGTTAAAATTAAAAATCCAAGCCCATTTTTTATGCATATGGGTCTGAAAGCAGTAGAGTGGAGGAGGAGGGGATGACACAACTAAAGGACTTTGCAAGTATCTTTTTATTTGTGAATTTTAGTTATTAAATAAATACAGTATGAAACTATTAGGCTCTTTTTTTTCAACAACCATAAAAGAAATCCTGGATTGTGGAACTGAAGCTACAGCACTAAGACAGGTTTTCAAGCATGCCTGCTTGCACAGGTAATGTTTAATGCCATCGGACTGCTCATCAAAAGCATCAGCACAGATTCTTTTCTGTTTGAGCCCTTTTTTGTTTTGTTTTCTATAAATAGCTATTTTCTTAATTTTTTTCCTTTTATTCCCTTTTTTCACAAGAATGAAATTCATAAATGCAACCATCAGTAAAAATGAATGAATTGGCGTGTTTATACTGTAAGAGTGGTCTTGGTTCTTTTTTTAAATCTTGTGAATAAGTTCGAATTTCTCAAAATTGCTTGGTTTGTTGTTGCTGGTTTTGGTTTGTTTTTCCCCTGCTGCCTTCCAAAGGCACGTGTGTATGTGTGTGTGTATATATATATATATGACACTTGAAAGAACCTTGGTATTGAAAAATGCACCATCTGTTAGAAACGGTTGCTGCTGGGGGCAGCACTGAGCGATAGATCTGCTGCTATTGAGCACTTCTGCAGTGCACTCGGGTTTTTAAGTAAACAACACATTTTGCTGGTATGTGCTAGGCTGGTATTGGTTCCTTGAATCCTCCCCCATGTATTAACTCCTCACGTCCTCTTCTTGCAGAATCACAGCCTCAGTAGCGGTGTCCTTAGCTTGCAGCACTCGGTGCACCAGCTTACTCCTGCTTTGTCGCTAACGCGGTTTTGCTCCTTTTCTCCCCCTCCATCGCTGCCTTTTACAGCAGCTCGTTGGCTTGTCGAGATACCGGCGGTAACCGCTGGTGTGCTGTATCTTGCTCTCAGGAGGCTGGGCTGCGGATTGGATCGCAGCCTGTGAGAGAAACCAGCCAGAACATACAGCTGAAACGAGCAAAAAGCTTTGTTCTCTCTCCCTTATGGAACCTAGAGAGAGCTACGTGTAAGAGTTAGACACTGAAAAATTGGTGCAAGAGCCACACCAAAAAGGCCATTAAGCTCTGCATATGTATCCAGACAGCCGTTCTTCGACCTTACCAGTGTGGTTAAAAACACGGATGGGTCTAACCTTTTAGATTCTGTACTCTAGCAATGAGTCCCAGGTGTCTAACCTGCCTGAGACAGGGGTGGAAAGTGGTCTGATAAACAGGAAATAAGAGGAAAATGAGGGAAGCAAGTTAGTTTGGTTTTTAAATCAGCATCTTCAAGAGCAGCTGAACCAAAGGACGGTGGAACTGCATTTGATCTGTACACAAACTGGAAGAGTACAAGGCAGTTTTGTACATCAAGAGATTTCTGCGACAGCTTGCAACAGGGAAGGAAGAAGGGACAACTAATTGAAGCACCTCGAATGGCAAATCAGACATAGAAAATGTACTGTACAGGGTGGGAGTTACCTCGGCAGCCCGGTTGCTGCAGGAGTGATGGTGTACTCTGGGTTTGTAATTTTTTTTTTCCCTATCGTCACGCTTGAAATAATTTTCAATTGTAATTGGGTGCTGCAAGATTTAACCTGAGCGTTCTTGTCGTAAATGAAAAATTGCTGGAGAAATGCAGATGAATGGTGCACCCGCAGGAAAGGGGGGCCCCTCCCTCCCCGAATTGGGCACGGTATCGTGCAGATGCTTGACGACGCTTTCTGCTACCTTTTAATAATGCAGCAAGCTTGCAGAGGAAGACAAGAATCAGCCTTTCATTATTCCCAGGGCTGCTGCAGTTGGCGTCCCCACCTTGTCCTGTTGCTGGAGGAGGAGTGCCACCGCGCGGCGGATGGTTTTCGCTTTGTGATGCCGAGGTCTGAGCCTTTGGCTGCTTTTTTTTCATGCTGGAGCCTGAACAAATGCATTCTGTTTTCCACTAGCACGCGCTTGGCCACCGGAGCTAATGCAGTCTGTTTCGTTAATCCTTTAGAAACAAATTGTTTAGGGACGATGCCAGCCATATAAATCAGTCTTAATTTTTTCCCCCACCCCTGTAAGGCTGGTGAAGAGGGCTGTGCTCTGTGCAACTGCACCAGCACAGATGGTTTTCCGTGGGAGATGGAGAGCGAGGTAGGTTTTAGTGCTCTGTTTCTGGTTTCAAAAACAGAATTCCTGGTGTATTGAAAGCTCTTACTCTTTTCTTTTCCCCCTCCCCATACACACACCACCCACCGCCCCCCATGCCTCTCCCCGAATCGTACCAGGCATGTTTCTATTTCCAGCAACAGTAAATCAGCGCAGGTTGCTAGCGGAGGAGAAGGCATTTTCCCTCTTCCTATAAAAATGGACGAGCAGCTGCTGTCACACGAGCAGCGCTGCCCCTCCTCGTGCCTTCTCAAACACAGCCTTCTCTTACCCTGCATCTCCTCAGAAGCAGCCACTCAGCTCGTCCTGGGTTTATTCCCTGCAGAACCAGGAGGTTTCTCTGTGCAGAACTCTCTTAACGTCACCTTCAGGAAGATGCCGACCGCAAAGCTCCTTGCTGTGCAGCTAGACGCTAACGAATGGCTGATGAAGTTATTCCTCCCTAACGTGCTGGCAGACAGCAGTGAGCGGCTGCCTCCTCCATGAATAATGACTGTGCCGCTTCAGCTGCTGCCCTCTTCGTTTCGGGGTGCAGTTTGGGGTTGGCTTGTTTATTTTGAGGTACAGGTTTACATCAGCACAGCTTGGTCTGCTCCGAGGAAGCATCTGCAGAAAAGACTGAAAACAAGGACTGGTGCGGTGATGCAGGCTCACGTTGGAGTGGGTATTCTGTTATCTACCAGCAACGGACACGGCTCTACGTGGGGCACAAAAATAGGCAGAAAGTGGCTTTTGGTATAATATTTTCTTGTCCCTCAGCCACTTGACGAGATAAAGCTTTACTCGATGCTGGTGCCTAACGAAAACCTGAACAAAAGCAGAAATATGAGAATTGATTCATCGCCTCAGGTGGATGTTCTTGCTCCAAGTCAGTGCCCTTAATTCCACGTTCCCCGCTGGTAACTGTGTGTGTCCTGTGTGTTCCCCTCTTGCGTATTGGGGATGAAGGACTTTGCTTCTGACAAGCATTTTCCCCAGGTTCTGGGCCACCGGGCTGTGCGGTGATGAGAGGGACAGCCCAGCCCAGGCTCTGCCTCGCTGCGAGAAGGCAAGTGGCCGCCTGGGCCGGCTGGAGCAGGAGCTGCCGCTTGCCAGTGCCACACAGGCTGAGCCCTGGTGCTCGCTGGCGTAAATGCTTTCCTAAAAGCTTTCTCATTTGAATAATTGATGCCTCTTGATCCTCAAGAGATGCCCTTATTGCAAAACTGGTGGCATGGGTTCAGTTATTTCTATCCTGTTTTTAAAGAAGGTGTCCCCAGCACTGCCCACAGGAGCTCCATGCTGGGAAGGCAGCGTGACGAGGCACCGGGTCTGCTTAACGAGGAGTTTCCTTCTCCTCATTCCCCTTCCTTGCCAGGAAGCGCTCAGGCAGAGGAGGGCACGGGGCTGGGGGCTTTCCCAGCCCTGCTGCCGGGGGGACCCACTGGTGCTGCCCCAGGATAAGTGCAAAACCCCTTCACCCTGCAGAGGCTGGGGCGGGGGAAGACCAAGAAGAGGAAGAGAGGCAGAACCTGCAGCGCTGGGGAGATCGAGGGGGAGATCAAGCTTGGGGGGAGGCTGGGCAGGAGCGGGAGGCCCAGTGAGAGTGGAGGACATGATGCTGCAGGAGGCCATGGAGGGAGTGGGACACTGAGCAGCAGTGGGGGGTGAGGAGAGGCCAAGAGGCTTTGGGGGGGGCGAGCACGAACAGGAGCCCGGCAGGAGCAGGGCAAAAGGCTGAGGGAGGCAGGAGAGGAGTGTGAGGATGAGCAGGAGCGGAGGCTGAGTGGGAATGCGAGTGGAGCCTCAGGGAGACTAAAGGCTGTAGGAGATGAAAGGCAGAACAAGAGCAGAGAGCAAGAAAGAGTAAGGCTGAGCTGTAACAGAAACAGACTGGGGGAAGCTGGGGTAGAGATGAGGCTAAGCAAAGATGCAGGCTGAAGAGGAGTTGAGGCCGAGCAGGGGTGGGAGGCTGAGGAAGGGTTGAGGCCGAGCAAGGTTGGAGGCGAAAAGAGAGTGGGAGGACAAAAGTGGGTGGTAGTCTGAGGAACAGTTGAGGTTGAGCCAGAGTTGAGTCCAAAATGGGGTGGGAGGCTGAGGAAGAGTTGAGGCTGAGCATGTGTGTCAGCCAAGGTGGCTTCTGGGGAGGTTTAGAGGAATTGGGATGCTAATGATGTCATGGTATTTGGGACCATGGGCTCAGACAGTATGGGAGCTGAGGCCATGGGAACTGATGCCATGAGACCAGAGGACATTGGAGCAGATTCTACAGGAGGGAAAGGACAGGAGCTATGGCCGTGGAAGATGATGCTATGGTGTAGGAGGCCCCAGGGGAGATGGTTGGGTGAGAAGACATGCCAGGGGGGAGAGGGAGGCCAAGAGGAAGTGCGAGGCCAAGAGGGTCTTTGGGTTGAGAGAGAGGGATGTAGAGGAGGAATGAAGGGTGAGAGGCCTATGGACTATGGGTGCCAAGAGAGGGTGGGAGGCCCAGCAGTGGAGGTCTGGGGGAGGCCCAGCAGGTGGAGGCTGTTGCTCTCACTGTACCCTGCCAGCAGCTTGCTCGTGGCCGGGGCTGGTGTTTTGTTCACTGTGCATATGGGTAAGCCCTTGCTCTCCCCATCGCACCGTGGGGTGGTGGCCTTCAGGGCTCACCCATCGTGTTTAGGAGACCCATCTGAGTAAAATGAGATCTCAGTTTTGAAAAGGCTTATTTTCTCCCCTCAATACAATACAAAACTCATCCCTTGTGCTACTGCGGGGTAAGGACTTTGTTAAACGGGGGGAAGAGGTGAAAGGCAATATGCAAGGGCAACGAGATGGAGAATTGTTAGGTTGGTTTCTGGAGCAATTCAAGACAGCAAAACTTTGTCCCACATACCAGCTGTTGGACCAATGTGCAGGCTCTTAGTCCTCCCCTTAAACAATCTCTTGCACTTTTTAGTTCTAATGGGTTTCATGTGGTCCCAATGCCTTTCTGCTTTGTGACCGGACATCACTCATGGCACTGGCTTTGTCACAGTCACCCCTCAGGCGTTGCCTTTGCTAGTGATAAGAAAGCACTGACATTTAGATACATAATATAGAGGGGACAGAGTCTGCTCATGCTTCCTCCAGCTGTATACTTTCCCAGCACCAATTTGTGCATATATTGACTCATATTTATTCTTCCAAGTCTGAAGCTCTAGTTTGAGAAATTGGAGGGGATGAGCTCCTACCCGGAGTGATTTCTCAACAAGTAA